TTGGTGAAGGTAAAGCTTCATTTTTCTGCGTTCAGCTGTGATTTTGCACAACATAAGTAAGGTGTGTCAGATCTCAAATATAAGGTATGACTAATTCCGTAGGTTGTTTAGAGCATTTGCGAGGAGCATCATCCATATAGATGAGAAGGCACTAATAGCCTTATTCCTCGTAGAATAAACAGGAGAATGGAGAGATAGATGTGATGTTTCGACAACATGCCTTTATCGAAAAGATTATCAGCAGTAAATTTAAAACCGTATGACGATCCTACTCGATTTTTCATGTTTATTTTTTTTTAAACAGCGAGCTGCAGTTTTCACAAGTCAACAACATTCAGGGGATCAAACAAGGAGAAGTTGCCAGCCATTTCTATGATACAGTGCGCATCTAACTAAAACTAAAGTGCGTGAAAAAGACGCGTGCATGCGAACTAATTCAGGGTAACACGCACCACGCATAACACATCATTTATACACGCAGAGGGTTTCAAGGAAGCAATTTTAAGTAACCACGCTTCACGTGTCACGGACCACTTACAAACGTAGCTGATTTCAATTAACAGGCATCGCGCATCACGCGTCAGGTGTCGCTCATACATGAAAACGACGAGTCCTCTACGTTAAGGTCTGGTCGCCAACATCATATCAGAAAAGATTCACTTCTTTTTCTGTCTGGATGGTCCTGTGCTCTGCAGGTGATATTGAGCTCTAAAAGGGAAAGAGGGTCAGCACCTTTCCGAATTTCAGCCTGAACGTGATTTGTTCCAAAACAAAAATCTTATTTGGTCGCTGAAAGATATATTCACTGTCTGTTGCATCTTGGGCATTCGCCATTATGATGTGTAATGTATGATGACTGTTAACACGAATTCGTTTATATGTAGACGCATTTTTGCGCATTTTAGTTTTTAGTTAGAAGTGCACTGTATCATGGAAACGGCTGGCAATTTCTCCTTGTTTTATCCCGTGAACGTTGGTGACTTGTAAAAATTGTTGCCCGCTGGTAAAAAACCTGAAAAATCAAGTAGGATCGGCAGGCCATTTTGGATTTACAATTGAAATTCATTTCGATAAGGGCATGTAGCAGAAATATTCCATCTGTCTCTCCATTCTCCTGTTTACTCTACGAGAAATATGATTACTGATTCTTTTCATCTGCGCAGCTGACTCACTGAACGAAATTTGTATCTGTCTCCTCATGCATGCAAGTTAACGTTGTAGTGTGTTTCGGCGATCGCGTTATGGTTTCGTGGTACTATGCCCTCTTTGTCCGTTGCGTTTGAAATAAGCCCCAGTGGCTGGCAATCGAGACGGAATTCTCCAGCATCTTTACAGTCGATGACAAGCGATCTTTTCGACATGCTTACTTGTCGGAATGAGCTGCTGCACGAGAACATTATTGTTTTCCGTGCGATATCTGATCTGATTAAAGAGATCTAACACAAATCTTTTGCGTGGCTTAAAACCGGCATGTCCGTAGTCCCCATTTGATTGCGAGGAATATACGCAATGCTTCCGAGATTAATGAGTGAATCACGCCGCATGTCTCGCTTAAAAACCTTCAGCGTGCCAGCGGCGCTATGGTGGTAATACATCACTCACCGCGCGCCAAAGACAGTTTTTCAGTACGAGTACACCGGTGCAATTCGAAGGATACCGCTCGGCAACCCGCGTTTTCTCGCTGTGGTGAGCGTCCGACGGATTATGCGTAGTGTATCTACAACCACACGTCTGCTGAGACCGGCATTTTCATTTGAGCAATGCATGCAGGCTAGAGTAAACTGCATGTCTACACTCAATGAACGCCGAAATAACGCGCAGCTTATTCCAATAATGTCGCCAAATCTCTTGAAATCAACGTTTGCAGCGAGCATGCCAACGTTTGCGGCGAGTATGGCAACGTTTGCAGCGAGTATGCCAACGTTTGCAGCGAGTATGCCAAGGTCTGATGAGGCGGCCGGACACCGACCGAAAACGGCTTCACTCGCTGTTCGAGGGCGTGGTGTGCGACGCACGCGCTTAAAATCGTGCCAAATCAAAGGGTACGTAGGTTTGATTATTGGATACTTGTAAAAACATGTCAAATGAAGGTATGACTCTGATAAATCTGTTCACGCGCTGGTTTACGCTTAACTTTTATGCAACATCTAAACCGCCTGGGAAACTGGCATTGCGATATCTCAAATATCCGCGATCGTAAATGAAGATAGATGATAAATGTATTGTCTGTGCCAGGGTGAGACAGATCTGGAATGATTTTCTTTCATAACGGGCAACGTGAGCCGCTGGATGAACCCAGACAAGCTCACCTGTCGGAGTCGTTGGGAAAGCGGCCGGTCTAAGCCCACTGCCTCTCATCTGGTTCAATGCACTTCCGGAACAGACCATATACGGCATCGGACAATGCTCTTGCAAGACCAGCTCGTTTCATCCTATGACATGGTCAGTGCCTTGCCGTGTCGAGTGGCAGCGGGGGCACAGAAACGTCAGAACAACAGTCGTCGAACCCTGCTGCGAAACCAATTCGCGCAACGCTCAACCAGGAGGGTTAGTATTATATTCCAGCGCAAAGCGGCCCAGAGCATTTCCCTCCTCCTCCCTGTTCCTACACCTAAAAAGGATCTGGTCAAGGAAAGGGATGCATCTTTGGATAGCTGAAGGTTTTTCTCATATATGGTGCTTTGCTCAGTTTCTTAGCAAAGTACACAAACGATATTTTTAGGACTCGCATAACGTAGACGTGCTTTTTGTCCCTCCGGGTTCTCACTCCTTCAGAGAGCCCTTCTTTGTATTGGCATGTTCCCCTGTGAAGTACCTGGACTATCTGGTGCAACTGAACGTTATCGTACGACGAATATTAATATTCGCAGCTTATGTTTTCCAAGTTTTTGGACGCCATGTTTGTAAGGAGTATGAATATGTCATTTAGTGGCCTCTTGTCCTGGTTAGATCGTAATGGCCGTAACGAGTCGTCGTCTTTTTGTAGCTTTGTACGGAAAGCTGCGCATTAAGTAGCGCACCTGCCATCTCTCATAAGTGTTAGAAATTCTATTGTTACTTTATGTCCGCGGATGTGCGTTGTACTGTCGGCATCGGCGCTGAACGGTGGCGTAGTGAGACAACGACTCGCGCTGGTCCAGCTTCAGTTACAGTCAAAACATTTTTAAGTGTCATCACAAAGCTTAGTTTCAACACGTCAAGGGAAAAAAGGGTCCGCACGGGCATCATGATGTAATGGTCGTTATCTCTACACGCAACTTTTTTATTAACCGTGCCACGAATTCGTCGAAGCTCATTGTGTGCCGCCTTCCAGCCATACCAGGATGCGGTGAAACTGACCGTCGCAAATCAGACTCAGCAGCTTCTTCTGCTCGAATGGCAAGCCCAGGCTACGAGGGGCTTAGGCCTTCCAAAAAAGTTAGTACATTTTATTCTTCTAGAATGTGGCCAAAATGTGGATTAATAAAGCATGTTTTGGTGCAGAAAGTGGAACAACATGAGCGGGACTTTTTAGCGTCTTTATTTTTTCAGCTGACGACGCAGTATCACCATGTTGTCAAGCAATGAACTGTAATATTTCGTAGCACTCCGGTCTCGTGTCTAACACGTCCAAGGACGAAGCCAAAACTAGGCAGGAAGCATGCTCTGCGATGAGCAAACCGATCGCCAGACTGATGCCAGAAAGATGGTGCCGCAAACTTCTATGTACGCACCTAAACTCAACTTTTAGGTTGACACATAACTTTGAACCCAAGGTGCCGTTTAATTGCAAGCCCCGGCAGCTACATGGGATCTATATACCTCGCTTGTGTCTCGGTTATTGGAAAGCCAATGCTGTTTTTCTCAAGCGAAAGCCGCACGGTGGAAAAAACACACAGATTACGCCCAGTGCTCCGGTTTGCTCTATCAAATCACATGTGCGTTGTAAGAGTTGTAAATGCGTGAATATGTAATGTGTAGGTATAAATTGCGCGTTCCAAATATAAAAACCTATAAAAGACACAACGCACAATTGAACATAGCTCATTAAAAGGATTTTAGCAAACCGCAAGCGACGCACCTATGGTGCGGGCAGTTCGCTTGTCAAACCATTGGCAATCGTCAGATTTCCCGGAGATCTGACGACCGCCGCGTAGCGGCACAGCCTTGGAAAGCCTACGCCACTTCTTTCCGTGACATTTTTGTCCACCACCCAGATGCCACAAGTGACTACTTAAGATCCTTAACAGCATGTGCTTTTGCACATCCGTCAGGCGTTCTCACGCCACCACACGGCACTTTGCGCGCCCGTGCCTCTGACGTCATCGCCGCACACCGGCGAGCCGCCCCGCTGCAGCGGCGCGTCACGGCCCTATCCCGGCGCTGTGGCCGCCCATGTTTGACCGGCGTGTCAGCGCGGATGAGCCGCAGCCTCACTGGTCGCGTCGCCGACGGCGGCCGGGCCGCGTCGGGTCCCACGACCGTCAGGGGCGACGTCGACAACCGCGCGCCAACCCCCACAGCCCCCTCCGGCCGGCCGGCAGCGACCCAGACCCACGCGGCATGCTCGATGCTCTTTGGAGGAGAATGACAGCTTTGAGAGAAGATTTTAGACGGTCAGTTCGAGAGTTAGAGTTTGGTTTAGTTTAGCTTAGTAGAGATGATAGCCAAGCTTTGGGCTATCGTCGTGAGCTTGGTTTCCCACTCACTGATGCACCGAATTTTCCGCTGATTTCAGTCTCCTTTGAAGCCTTGGCGCGGATATTTTGGTCTTCATCACGCCCTTTGCTGATGCTAATTTGGCACAATAACCCCACGGACGGCCTGGCCCGTCCATACGTACAGCAGTGCGGTGCAGGGGAAGCGTTGCAGCGTGCCCCATACACCGGGCGCACTGCACGGCGCGAGCCGGCGGTTCTGCCGCCCCGTCCAGCCGGCGGCGAGGCCGGCGCGCGGCCAGAGCCGGCTGCCGCGGCCGCCCAGCGCCGCCGCAGTCGGTCGCTGGCGCTGGTCGAGGTGGCGCGCGCTGTGTCACTGTCGCGCCGCTGAGAGTCGGGCCTGGAACGCTGACGCCGGAGGGCTGACTGTCGGGCAAGGACGCGAGCCGGCGGCAGGGCGCCAGTCCCGCCGCGTGACATCGCCGCGTGACCCCTCGCAATCCGCGCCGACGCCGCGATGAGCATGACGCCGTCGACGGAAGAGGTGCTGAACGGTTCGGAGAGCGGCGCCTCGCAGGAGGCGCTCAACGTGACCGCCTCGCCCGACTACGACGCCGAGCAGTCGGTCAAGATCTTCTTCTGGGGCGAGCTGGCCACGGCTCTGGTCGTCTACTCGCTGACCTTCGTCGTGGGCATCATCGGCAACGTGCTGATCCTGGTGGCGATCGCCGGTAACCGGCGTATGAAGTCCGTCACTAACACGTTCCTGGCGAGCCTGGCCACGGCCGACCTCACGCTCATCTGCCTCTGCATCCCCGTCAAGGTGAGACAGCTCCGCCGAGCGACGGCCGGTGAGGCGCCACCGGTATTGGCGGTGTTGGTGCCGGTCACCGGCGTGGGC